TACGTAGAAACGAGGGATCACAATATGTATATAAGCTGATTTTATTTTTCTTTACATTTATAACAGCACTTTCTACTGCAACTTTGTCTTGTTGTATAATAAAACTATTTTGTAACTTCATTTGTCCTTTTAACTGTTCATAACGGCTATGCCGCTTTAACCTTTCAGTTTGAAAAAATGACACATTCTGAGGTCTTTGTTGATAAGCCAGTTGAGAAGAACATGCTCTGGAAGTCAAAAGTCAACAAATATGATGTTAATTTCTCAATAATTCCAATCTTCATTTTATTTATTGATTCCATGTGTTTTGATTGGACGAGAACAAATTCAAGAAAAAGTTTACACATCAATGAATTTTTCAATCAGAACTACTTTCTTGACGTAGCTTCTAGGCTGTTGTAAAAACGATGAAAACATATTTCTAGTCCTTTTAAGCTAAATTATGATTACGAGAAACTTGAAATAAAAAAATCAAAACAGGAGATAAAGAGGACTGACAGACGGGAATATTATGTTTATGTCACTGTCGGATCACGAGTGTAAATTTTAAAAAATCGCTGATCATGCTGTCATTTTCTCGACGTTCCATATCAACTCAGTTGGTATCGTTGTGACAGGGAAAAGAAACGTACCTCAGACTCTTGCCTTATCAGCATCAAATTCATAAATTAACATCCTACAGATCCCATATCCTCCCTAAATCTTTGAACGAACCAGAGCAAATTTAGGACGTCGTCGGTCTGCAACTTTCGCTATGACGTTGTCGTTACTATGTCAACATGGCCATGGTCAAGGGCGAATTATTCTGGAGAATACGCGAATTTACGATATTTGTTGACTTAAACAACATTCAATGAGTTTTTATAAGTTTATTTATTGATTGTTTTGACAATTTAAGTTGGATTTATCGATATTCATCTTGTATAGGTTTCTTTGCAGCATAAAGTATTCCTACGCCGTACAAAATAACGGATTGTATGGCGGCCTCAAAGAGAAATAATTTTAAAAATTCGTAATTGGAATTATAAGAATTAAAACAGGGATACAGATAGATGGGTTCAGGCGTCATGCAGCAGAATAGTGAAGAGTAAAGAAACAGACTTGGTAGGATAGATTCATCTGAACTCCATATGTTTTTTGTAAGGATTATTTATGAAGTTTAGAAATTCATTTCAGGTCCATGAATATAGGATCTCCTGTATAAATCTAAACAACAAGTACTTAGTATGTCAAATGTGCTAAAAATAGACGATACCACATTGAGTAAATAATCACAGGACTGAAATGTAGTAGTGTAGTTAATGCATAATAAAATCCACCCAGATAATATTCCAAATAAATGTTGACACATTTAAATCATAAAAAATAAACTAAATAATTAAATTATAACCCCTGGCCATTACAATATTTTGGAAGAAATTGATTTTACTATCAATATCAGTTCAATGTAAAGTTTTGCATTACGTCACGATCTTTTCGACAGATGCACCCAGCGTAATCAATTCACGTGATTGGTCAACTCATATTATCAACATTGACACAGAAATAGTCTGTTGTACGAACAACCAATCAGCGATTAGAAGGAAGTTCGAGTCGTAAAAATTGCAGTTAGGAGGCGTGTACTATTTACCTTGAGCGCAGCTATCAAACTAAAACTTCACACTTAAATACAATCTATATTATTATTATAATAGATAGTAAGTTGATGTTGTAGGGATTTCAACAACCTAGTTCACAGCAATTCCTTTGTAAATGTTATGGTCATTATTATCGTATTTTGGCTGACTTGTTTCATATAAATTTTGTTATTAACTTTTGTTCTCAATTTGACAAGATGCCCCGTCTACTTGATCATGTGTAGGACCCGCGGCGGGTGTGACCGGTCAACAGGAAAGGCTTTCTTCTCTAAGGTGCCTGATCCCACCTCGGGAATTTCCAGGGGTCCGTGTTAATGCCCTCTTCACATAAATATTTGTTTTGTTTGTAGTTTTAACGAGATAGATTAATGTTCACAATCTACATTTTTTCATTATGACATATTTCGCAGCTTCCGACAAACTTAAGTCAAGATAAAATACAATGCCACTTTTCTTCAGAAGCTCTGTCTGAAAACAAAGTGTTCGTATAAAAGGGACATGATACTAAAAAGATTTTCTTAAGCTCCGAATCTTACGAAAACCAAAATGTATTAATAAAGAAAGAATAAATTTTGCCGAGAAAATTTATCATAATTATATAAAATTCAATATTAAGAGATTTACTCCAAATCTCACATATTAAATTCACATGATGTCTGTAGTAATCTAGCATATAATTATCAATTTTTAAAAAAAAAACAAATCATTTCCTTAAACTTTTTGGCCATCATCAATTACCTTAATTTCATGAATGCAATAAATAATTATCGTAATCCTGGAAATGTTTTCAAGTTATAAATTATGTAGTAAATATTTCCTAATTTATTGTTATCATTATTTTACTAATTCCTGTTATTCAATAGTTAAGAAATACCAAACTTCCCTTCCAAGTGTTCAAAATCAATATACAATGTTGATTGTGAAGCAGAAACCTAGTCTATCTGTTGTCTACCATCTTGTTATAATCGAAGATTTGGGGTATATAGTTTTTGTTTTCTTTTTGTTTTGCATTTCACCTTCACTTTTACAATTTATATCATGCATTGAAAACATCAAGACAAATGTATTGAATTATCATTGAGAACTTTGTGCTTGAGTGATAGTTATTTTGTACTTCCGTTTCAATTTTTAAGTTTTACTACAGAGGAGTTAGATATAACATCAAATTCAAATAAAAACAAAGAGTAACCATTGGGAAGGAGGTTCCAGTCGGTGCGTACCACAATTTCTATACGATAAACAGGTTAGTCATAGATTAAATGGTTGTCTTTCAACTATACCTACAGTCTTTGATATTGTCCTTAAAAGTTCTTTTACATTGGCAAATTATTACAACCAATCGTTTTACAAGGATTTTTTTTTACTCTTATTGATCTTAATAATGTTTCAGGTTTTATTAGCTTATTATCGATTATCTGATTTTTGTTTCATAGTGAAGAAGATATCTGGAAATAGTTAAGAGTATCTTTTTCATAATAATTAATTGAGATATATTCAAATATTTACTAAAAGAAGGTTTGAATGGATTGACAAATACTAGTATCCGAAGCTCATTGAAACTGTCTTATCAATTATTATTGATCATATTTGTCAATTTGTTCATGTCGGTTCTCGATCCATATAAAAGTGAGACTTGGTAAATAATGGATTGCAAGAAAACATCAGGAAGGACAGCAGCTAGAGACAGAAGCAGGTTGATGCAGTGTGTATCGCATATGTTGTATTACATGTAGCTCATATCCTCAATCAATGACCAATTTTTCCTAAATATACATGTATAAGCTTTTAATAATCAAAGCTTAATATTTTTTATTCTTCATCAAAGAGTTATAATACTTCTTATTTATATTGCTAAGTACAAACAAATATGTAAGTCTTATGTCATATCTCCCTCAATCATTGACCATTTCTTCCTAAATAAATCAGCATTTATTTAAAGTTTGATTTATTTTTTATTCTTTAGCAAAGAGTTATACTGAAAGGAATCAGAAACGCAGGTAAACTTTTGAGGTGAATTAAATTTGTTTTTCTTTTAATAATTTTCAGTATTCCTATCTAACTTTTAAAATCGTCTTTCAAAAAGCCTTACCACAATCCAATTTGATTTTGTCTAATAATTCATGGGTTATTGAAGCTTATATGACGATACTCCCCGAAAGTGAAAATCGAAAACTCTCATTATCTTCAATGTCTCTCCCGCGCATCTATCAGAGCCTTATTTTTCCTTTGCATGGAATTCATCATAGTATTTATCTTTCAAACCCTGGCTATATTTGGCACGGGTAACCACGCAAAAAAAATAATCAAACGACGCGCGCATGCGCCAGTGAGATGAGTAAAACAGTAAGTTGACTGGCTCAAAAAACCAAATTGCAGAATTGTTTTCTTTCATTTTTCATGTGAATGTATTGATTATAACAGTCTACTGTATAAATGGCGGTTTTTGTGGTAGTAAGGTAGCGATTTAAAAGATGGCAGGACGAGTAACCCGTACGTAACATGACTCTATTTTGCGTTAACGTCATCGTCACGGTTGATTGAAAGCCATTCCATGCCCTCTCTGACAACGAGTAACAAGTCTTTTTGGAGAAAATTTACAAGAAACTGCTTAGTTTACGTTGTTTCCCTTTTCATTAATTAGGCAATTCGAAAACAAGACCCCATGGAACTTCCGTAGACTGTACCAAGAATGCAAGAAATTCATATCGTCTCTAAATATTGAAAAACGATGTGCATACCTCAGGTGCATCAAATGGTGCAACAAGATTTGTTGACAAACTCGGCCTCATCAAATTGCACGTGTTTTGGGCTTTTAAGCGTTTTCCCTACGTGACGTCATACATTTTTAGGTTGAGTAATTCTGAACACTGATTTTTGTGCATAGTAACTAAATTTCTCATCTGACCAATTTTCGTAATTTTCGGTCATGCGGTCAAACATTTATCGAATATTATGTTACCCTGCGTTTCTTTTTCCTTTCAGTATATATTTTATTATTTATATTACTTAATGTAAACAGGAAAAAAAGAGTTCTTTAATAACATACGTTATCGATTATTTCTTGTTAAGCATTTTAAAAGTACTTTGGATGTGGTTTTTTTTTTTTAGCTTTTCAACACAGTAGCATGTTGACAAAAACAAGACAGTCATATTTTCCGACCCTATTAAAATCGGAAGTTTAACATGTCATCATTTAGTTAACATAATAGGGATTACTTTATTTCCATAGATGAAATTGTAAGAGGAAGTTCTATTCATATACATGTATGTTTCTTTAACATTGATTTTAAACAGTTGCATAATATACAACATACATGTATATGATGTGATACTATTTCTTCTGTGACACTATTTCTTATCTATGGTTTTGCTTGGGATCAGTTTTAATCCATTTAAGCGCTGAAAAGTCCAGTTTGAAAATTGGTAACAATATAAACTACAACAGATACAGAATCTACCTTATTTTCATCGATATGTGTGAGGAAATCGACATAGTAGTATTGATATAAAATGGTATATATGTGGAAGGAAATCGACATAGTATGGATATAACTTGGTATCACTTTTTGATGAAACGAAAGTTATTCTCAGTTGTACTTTTTTGCATCATTCATCCACAGACATCATCAGGTGAGTTTGCTTTAAAAGACACCATTTTAAGTTTTCAGACTTTAATACCTTTTTACCAAAAATTAAATCCCTGATATTTTCTTTAATTGATTTTATTCGCGAGATTAATTCCCCATAGAAGGATTAATTTTACTTCAAGATTTCTTTTTAACTAAGATTTTTTTTTAGTATATAGTAAATTCCATTTATAAATGTGCCACTTTGTATCAGTGTATGTATCTACTGTAGCAATATAAATGAAAAAAATTACAAATGCATCTAGCTTTTCACAGCAGTGAATTAATAGCTATTCACACCAGCTGAAATAAGTTACTTTAAATGTTCAAATGTTCTCAAAAATTGCAGTGAAGATTAGGCCGTGTTAGTTTGTGCTGTCGTGAAAAGTGTCATTATACACAACATGCACTTTCATCTTCTGACTAAGTCAATTCATTTAGAAATATATACTACCGGGTATAATGATTGTAGATAGTTATGTTTTTAATTGACACTACAAACCCTGTGTAATCTCAATGATTTATATTATCTAACTTGTGTGGAGAAACTGAAATTCGTTTTATATATAAACCTTACTTAAACTTTTAAGATATACTATATAAAAGAGTTTTTAAAATTGTATTTCAAACAAGGAAACATTCAAACAATACAAAACACTCAGGTAACTAGACTGTATCATTTATGCTTTTAACATTTTTTTGTATTGTTTGTTTGTTTGCTGTTTTTTCGTTTGTGTGTGTGTGTGTGTGTGTGAGGGTGTGTGTGTGTTTTTATGTGTTTTTTGGCATGAACTGCAATCAAATTTATAAAGAATTTTAACACAATTTACACTACAATCAGCAGTACTACAATCTATTTTAACAAATGATTTAAGCATCATTTTTTGATTATCTCTTGTTTTATGTCTTGCAGGAAATGAGTACACTTTAACTGATGAAAACTTATCTTGGACTGATGCTATCGAATTTTGCCAAAAGAATGGAAGCCAATTAGCGAATCTCGGTGAAGCTGTGGCTACGCTAACTACCGATGAATGTCTTGAAAGGTTTGATACAATGTGGACAGAGACGTTCGCTTCTGCTAGTCCATATTTATCTCTATTAGGTAAGACGGAATTGATAAATCAGAGAGATGTGTTTTTGTTAAACCTTGTAGTTTTGTTTTCGGTGCTAAATTTTTCTTCAGCATTCAATTACTTTAGTACTGGATTACACAATTAGGGACCCTTGTAGTAGGTAGACTCAATCTAGAGTTAGAGGTGACAGGTTCGATTTTTGTCCCCGGTGCCACGACAAAAATAAGTCATGACTGTTCAAACAGTAAAAGTCGCGAAACCTTCCACTTCTTCTCATGTGGAAGTACATGTAGGCCTTTATGCTATAAAATACTTAAAAAGCGTAGGCCTAAAACCATACATGTAGTTTAAAACTTGTTGCACTGTGTATATGTTGGTTACGTCTTTAATGAAATTTAATTTTGAAATTATTTTAAAAGGCTCCAAGCAACATACATCCAATCAATCATTCACGGATAAGAAAGAATTGAAAGAGAAACTTGAAAAGCATTCATTGATTCTAGAGTCAAGGTTTTAAGAGATATATACCAAATCAAACTTTTATTTTATGGATTTTATATTATTTAATTTTTAAATATGATTTTGTTATATACAGACCAAATTCATTTTATTTCTTAATCAATCTTAACATTTTTTTGTATTTTTTCTTAGAGATATACAAAAAAAATTTTCAAATAAGACACTTAATTAAGAGCACTTCAGAACTCCATATTTGCTGTTAGATTATGCTAAACATAAAAAATCTATTTTTTGAATGTCAAGGACACTCTGGAAGCCCTTTTTATCTTTAAAAATGTTTGTTACTAATTTTTTTTTTCAATGTATCTAAATATTTTTTTAATTAATGGGTGAAATGAGGAAATGTGGAGATAACAAATCTCAATTATAAATACTGCTCGAAAGTTCAATTAAACTTTGCAAGTAGTGAGCATAGCAAACACGGACCTCGGAAATTAGAACAGGGATAAAATCGTCTTTAAAAACATTGCACAGAAATTACACAGAAAAGAAACATCTGACAATCATAGTTTTTAAAACAAATTTTAATTGCCGAATTTAAGAAATTAAATAGAGAAATATTTATTGCTTTCAATATGATGGGGTTACCATGTTTATATAACGAGCAATAATGTTGATTAATTTGTTATATTTTTCAACACACGTTTGTCATGTAATTTGAAATTGCAGGCTGTTTCAATAATCAAGGAAACATCCCTCACTCTAATCTTAGCAGAGCCTCGGTAGTGGACTGTCAGTTTGAATGTTCCAGTTCACCTTACTTTGCAATATCGGTAAGAAGTTCTAAAGCGTTTGTTACCAGAAAAATCTCAAAAATACAAAGTCGTACAATGAACATTTAGATCAAGACAATTTTTGTGTAAAGTTATCTAGTATATTATACACTTATCCACTGGTTGTGGGTGGGATAGCTCTTTTATCAAACCCGCGACAGGGAACTATTCCCCGAGGGCTTGCCCGAGGGGAATAGTCCCTGTCAAGGGTTTGATAAAAGAGCTATCCCACTCACAACCAGTGGATAAGCGTTTTATTATACTGATGTATAATATAATTTTTGAGGTTCGAATTTTTTTTTTGAGTAAGATAATATTGCAAGAATAATCTGAAATCCAGATGACGTCAAAATGCTACTGAAGTCATTATGACATCATCAGTCAATAGATTTATCGCTGGAAATCAAAAATCAAAAGAGCTATCCCACTCACAACCAGTGGATAAGTGTATACTAATGCCTTTGTTCAAGTATAACTATCCACTTAAAATACTTTAGAAAATAATTAGTAAAGTTTTGAACATGAAAACACTGATGAATTTCAAAAAGTGAAATGGAGTTAGACGTTAATAATAAAAGGGGAAGTGCCTTTTCCGAATTTATTCTTCAGCATAATTTGAGATTTAATACTAAAAAAAAAATATGACAACAAACTTTAAGAATAAATTACAAGTATCTATAAAACATAGCGTTCTATGGCATCTTACTGGATCTAAGTCTTAAACAGCAAATTAAGGCTTGATTGTTATTATTAATTCTACCATATAGTACTTCTTCCACAATATTTTCAGTCTTTTTATACTTTGACAATGCTTTTATAGATTATGATTATTTAACATGACAGGATACAGAATGTATGTATGACCTAAACATATCTATGTATTTTCAAAAATTTAGGAACAATAATTTGGACAGTAAAGGTACAAATACTAATACTTGAGGACATACGCAAGGTACCTTACCTACTGATAATTTTTCAAGATATTCTAAATTTAAACTTATAATACCATTACATGTTCTTAGACAAAAAATAGCATGTGTTACCAGGGGTTTTGAAAAGATATCAAATTATGAAAATTTTTCATCAAAAAAAATTTACAAAAATTACAAAACATAAATTCCAGATTTTTTTTCATTAAAATTTGTTTTAGAAGAGGTGTACAAATCCATATATAGACATTAAAAGTATTGCACACAGGTCCTTCATTTAGTGGAACTCTTCAATTCCAGGGAAGAACCCAATAAAGTTCAAACTACGTTGCGTATGACCTTAAATAAAGCACAATTTTGATAAAATGAAGATGTTCAAATTTAACTTTCTATATTTTCTATGTTTTAAAGGACACAACGTGTTCATGTCTTGAAAATGTTACAAGCAGTGGAGACCGTGTAGATCCCAGTCTTTGTAACATTACTTGTGATGGTACATATTGTGGAGGACAAGACACCATGAATATTTACTACGTCGGTAATGTATTGTAGAATGTGATATTTCTTTCTGTTGTTTATTTACTGATTTACTGATTTCCATTTATTTCTGTATACGTAGATTTCAAATATTTCTAAGAAACTACTGATAATTCACTATGAATAATTGTATAACTACATGCACCAATGGTAATCTGCTTTCTGGCTTAGTGCAGCGTAAATGACTTCGAAAATTTCATCCAGTTTTAATGAACAATTGTCAAATATCTCTATTTTCAGAACTCTGTATAGTGACTATTTTTTAAATATAATTCCAGTAGACAAAGGCTTTTTCCAAAACAAGACAGTCTATAGGAATCCAAATTTTACCTCCTGTTTATCATACCAGTGTTTAGGTCATAGGAATGTTTATCAGGAAGCGGATTGTGATGATATGTCCATTTCACTGTCAGATTGTAGTAAGTATGGGGAAGCATTTATTAAGTACAAATTACTATTTGATTTTATTATTCATGCCTGAATATTAGCTTCAAAAGTTCATTAGATATCAGTCAAAATATGTCAATATCGGGTAATATTTACAGTATAATAATATTTTATAAACTCTAAGAAATCTTTTATTTTTTAACAGGTAACTATTTTTCATGCACGTTTGAACCAGGGGAACCCTGTTTTTTTTATCAGGATGACGATGACGATTTTGATTGGACAATACAGAATGTAAAAAAAAATCTTCTGTTTTTACTACGAAATTATGTTACATTTGTTCGGAATACTGCAAATTTTGAGGAAGATCCAAATCAATATACTTTTTCATGAACACACTTTATCCAAGTGTGCTTGGTTTTTAGTATGTGTTTAGTATGTCTCAGCAAAAAGCATGCTCCAAATGTGATCATTTTTAAAACCCAGGCAGGCCCCTCAATCATTAATCGATGTTGCAGGGATTTCAACGACCTCGTTTCAAGGAAGAAATTCCTAAATTACATCGTCTTTATAATGATATAATACAGTATAACCTTGAGTCATATTTTGGCTGACATGTTTCATACCAATCGTAAGGCCTTGATGTGTTTGTACTAAAATTTACTACGTTCCGTCTATTTCATCATTATATAGGACAGGTGACAATTACTCCTTCTAGGCACCAGCGCCCAGGATCATGGAAACAAACTTAGAGTTAAGTCAACTTTTTAATCAACAACAAAATCTTTATTTGCTGTTGAATTAATCTCTAAATTTGCAGATAGAACACTTTTTGGGAACAATCTTGAAAAAATAAATTGGTATACTTGACTTCTACAAGATTATAGTACAAAATTAAAATTTTGACTTAAGCTTAAGACGTTTCATGATCCCGGGACCTGATCCCACCTCTGAAACTCCTAGAGGTCCGTGTTGATGCCTTGTTCACGTATTTGTATCATTTGCAGTTTTCATGGGATCGATTATCCTCATCCTTTATCATGTACACATTAGTGCATGAAATGATTTCTTTGATATTCAAAGCATATTTTTTTCTCTTTTTAAGCCCCAATAATTGAAGATTAGGGTGCATATAGTTTTTGCTCTGTCCGCCCGTCTGTCTATTAGGCTGTTTGTCGGTCTGTTTATCCACAAAAACTTTAACCTTGCCCGTAAATTTTGAGCGGGTGGAGCTTGGCTTTCATATTTCAAAGGTGTATTCCTTGTGATAGGACCCTTCTTTGGGTACCCAAATTTGACTTTTTGGCCTTGGAGTTTGACCCATTTTTATAAAAAAAATTACCAAACCTTAACCTATATGCCATAACTTTTGAACAGTTTGTGCATGGGTTTTCATACTTCAAATACGATATGTGTTCATTGTGACAAGACCTTTTAATGATCATAAATATTTTTTTATCTTTTGACCTTGACTTTATATATTAACCCACTTTTCAAAATTTTCATCTTAGACATAACTTTTGAACATTTAGTACATTTAGTTTTCAAACTTCACAGTGTATTCCTTATCTCAAGACCTTCCTTTGGATACCAACAATTTTGACCTTTTTGGCCTTGGAGTTTGACTTGCATTTGAGAAACTTCAACTCTCGCCATTAGCTTTCATATCGGGACATCAGTGTTTCACAATCACATCTTGATATAATTTTGTTTAATTTTGAGCACATAGACCAAACGAAACTTTATAAATCTAAAAGCACAAAAACATTTAAAAATTTTATCATTCTACGTCTCCTGTAGAAGGCCACAAAGTATGGCCCAGTCCAGTCTTATGGAGGATCGTACTTTGCCTTTGTTGACGATGAACAGTACGGGGAGGGAAATTCGACAACGCTTGTTTCAAATGTCGGATTTACAGGTATGGTACATTTACGCTTATAATAATTCATAACACTTTTCATCCACTGCCAAAAAGAAAAGAAAATATACTGAACAATTATAACATATGATTGTAACTAAGTTGACTTATTTGAGTAATGTATGCAGGGTGCGTCATGATATAATGATCATTTTTGTCATGGTATTGACAAATTTTAGGACGTTAGAGTTTTAAATGATCTTTGGGCTTCTGACAATATAGTACAATTTCCTTTCTGATAACTCAGTTTAAATATCTGAGAGTAAAAAGAAGATGAAACTAAAAATATTTCATTGACACAACATAATAGATTTTAAAATTAGTGGGGGGGTATTCATTTGGGGGAAATCATTTAACTCAAAAAATGAGGGGGAAAAAAGTTGGAGTGGGGAAGGACCCTCCTTATATATGTTCGCTATTAATACAAAGTCAACAATGTATGGTAAATGTTTTTCTACATCAGTTGTACTAGAAAATGTTTCCATTTGAATATTCCTGATTCGTAATTGGGATTTTTCTTTTGAAAGATGGTCAGTGGTGTATTCACTTGCGATACTACATACAAAATGTATCGACAGATGCAAGGCTTGAGGTTTTCAAAAGTGGAGAACAGAATCCCTTTTTTATCTTTAAAAAATCTGCCAATAAGGAATGGAAATATGCGTACAAAAATATTATAATGAGTTATGATGAAAGAGTAAGTAACCGAAATTTACATTTATTAATTATTATAATCATCCCCTTTAACGTAATGGTTTAGAGGTCATCTATTTTAAATGCTGTTAAAAAAATATATTTATTGATAATTAACTATTTATTATTACTCTAAATATCAGGTTATCTTCAAGTTTACACGTGGTAAGGAGACGTCTGATTTCGCTTTAGATGACGTCATTATGATAAAAGGGTCATGTGGTGAGATATATTTCTTGACCTTTGATTGAAGTTTTAAATAATAGAGAAACATTCAAAAAGCTGAACAAATGCTTGATTTCAGGAAAATTAATATTATAAAAATGTAATAATAATAAATATAAATATGCATGTATTTCAGAAGAGACAGTGACATCAATGTTTAAAATGAAAGGCGAAATTAATTGCAATTTTGAAGGTAATGAAGATGTTTGTTTTCAACAAAACAAAAAAGGCTCTACTTGGACGATAACTCGGGTACGGTATAAAAAAAGTCAGTTTATTTTGCATGTGGTAATGAATGATACAGATATAAGTTATAAATACAAAATCATCCACAAATAGTTCAGAGTAAAATTAACATATAATTACATTAGTTATAAATGAACACAAAATAATGCACAAATGTAAGATATTACATAATGGAGTTTTACATGATAAGCTTTTGCAGAATTACTTTAAGTTTTTGTGTATCTAAGGATGGATCGACACCCACAGAAGACACGGGACCAAGTAAAAACATTGAAGGAAATTATTTCCTATACTTTGCAGCAAACAAATTTGGGAATCGTGGAAAGGCTGTTCTCAGTTCTTCATTTTATCTAGAAGGTATTTTTTTACGAACATTCCTTTCTGCATTGTAACATTCCGATAACACTTTTCTTAAAAACCATTTTATCTTACCCAATGATGAAAGATTTTATTGAAATATGAATATAAGATATACATGTTTAAGCTCCGTCTTTGTCCCTTCTAGAACTTTTCATATATATTTTCAAGATTTTAAATCAAAGTCAAGACAAAATTGGAATAGGAGGTTAGTTGGTTGATTATCCTTGCTGGTGGATGGCTGCAAATTTTAGACCTCTACGGGTGTTGTAGAGTAGGATTTCCTCATTAGTAAGCTTTTCCTCCGGAAATCGTACTCTAGAGTAGGATTTTCCCCCGAGGGGAAATCTCACACCAGAGGCAAATTTCCCCCTCTTTCATTCTCAGAGTAGCCCCCCCCCCGTTATAGAGTCAATATAAATGTGTATAACAAGTTTCTGGGAGTATTGCAGAAGCAATACTTGTCCCCTACCGGCAAGTTTAATGTAGTTAAAAATTGAAAAGTAAATTTCATTAAGTGGAACAATTTGCAAACTTGAAGTAAACCTACCAAAAATTAGCTCTCAATATCTCCAATCGTTTAGAAAAACATTGCGGAAAACATTTAAAAATTGAAAAGGTCATAATTCCTTAAAATTGAAGCGAAACGAAATGCAAACTTGAACGTTAACTCATCCAAAAATCAGCTCAATGTCTTTAAGCATTTAGAAAGAAAAGTGTGGAAAACCATTTGGGACACAGACAGACAGAAGGACAGCTAGACGGATGGACAGACGCAGAGGAAACTTATAATCCTCTCCAGTTTCATAAATTTATTTGATTTAAAAATGGTTTGACGGTACGTAGCCATGAAAAATCGGATTTAAAATTTCCATGAAAATTTCGGAAAATTGACTCTGGTGTGGGATCTCTGTAGGTGAATTCCTACTATAGAGCCAGTTTTCCGGAGGAAAAGATTTTAGGAGGGAATCCTATTCTACAAGACCGGTACTACAGCTCCTATAGGGAAGTGATGGATCTTATTCATGTCAGCGCCTTCTGTGACACAGGACATCGGTTTATTTATAGGGTCGCAAAGACGACAAAGAAAACATATAACTGAATACGAATTAAATTCTAGAATGCCACTTAGTTGTCAGTTTCAAAGAAAATAATGAGTGCCACAAGGAGTATATGGAAATCTTAATAAATAATGTTTAACCAAAATAGATTGATTTTAATGTCGTCTGTTTTGAAACTATGTGAAAACAATTTTCTTCTAATGGTAGATATTAACATCACCTTTAGTATGCAGTATAGCATGTATGGTGAAGACATTGGACAACTTTATGTTTACCTAAAGGATGAAAGGAATACCACTAGAGATATTTTTAAAGAGGAAGGTGATCAAAGAGAAGGATGGAAAAATTTCACTACAAATATTACGGTAGAAAGCAAAAATAAGGTGGGCTTTAAAAAAAGTATATAAATGTACAAATAAATGAAAATATTTGCCGAAGTACATAGTAATATCGAGGTTTTCAGTGCTGTAATCCCTCAATGAAAATGACAAATATAAAGTGTAACATGATGTACAAATGAAATAGTTTCTAAGATTGATGATAACGGGTACCTGTAAAGTGCGAAACGAAATAGAAACGAAACGAAACGAAACGAACTGAAACGAAACGAAATCTGCCGAAACGAAACGAAATCTACCGAAACGAAACGAAACCTACCGAAACCAAGACGAAAGGAAACGAAATCAAAACGAAACCAGCCGAAACGAAACGAAACAAAACTTTCAAATTTTTTTTTTCAAATCAAAGTATATACATGTACATATAGTAATATATAATGTGTAACTGCATATGATCTATTTTCATTCCATAAGAAATTTATATAGTTCAAGCACCACAGGCAATTATTTCGCTTCAAGCTCATACATAGGCGTCAGAAGGAAAATGAAAGTTGGGTGGGGTGGGGAGGGAGGGGCTTAACTAACAAAAAAGGTTAACTCCAATTTTTGATGCCTATATAATACATATCTTTGCAAAATTGTAAAGGGGGGGGGCTTAACCCCCCCCCCCTCCCCGCTTCCGACGCCTATGCCATATTTTGTTAACATATCATTGAGTAATTTATCTACTTAAAAATGACATTGTTTGCTTCGAGAGACTTTTATCTTGTCAGTTAAATCGTTTTAGACATCTTTGGTCGAGCCTCTTTATTGCAAACCACTGAAAATTACCTCGATAAAAAATAGGACCGTATGCTTGTATGCACATAGCTCTAAAGAAGCACAAGATTCCGGTTGGAGCTACATGTATAATTGAACGATAAAACCAGACACCTCGGAATGGAATACTAAATACTCGGAAGTTTGATAGTATTGAATGATTGATTGTATATTGTTTAACGTCCCTCTCGAGATTTTTTCACTCATATTGAGACGCCACCATTTACCGGTGGAGAGCTGCAAATTTTGTCCTATACTCGGCACTCAGGGCCATTGAGCAGGGAGGGATCTTTCTCGTGCCAGCACCTACTGCGACACGGGACCTCGGTTTAAATACGGTCTCATCCGAAGGACCGGTCTCCACGTCCCACAGTGGGATTCGAACCCGCGACGTACTCCTTACTTCGCGACTCTAGAGCAGACGCTCTAACCACTGCACCACGCGGGCGACGGAAATTTGATGGTTACCAGGTATGTTGTATCTAGATAAATAAGGCTGAAAATAAGAGTAAGACATAAAAATTAGAAAATACTGTACATATTGAAATTATGCAGGCATTATACGCTCGTGCATATTCGCAGCTGACAAACATGTAAATACAGCGTTAGTCTGAGAAGGAAGCATAATTTATCGGTAATTAAATTTTATATTGAAAGTGCTATATAAATTTTATTTGAATGAAGTAAAAAAAAATAGTAAGTCCACATTCCACATGCAGTTACATATATATAATTATATACATGTACGTTGATTTGAGAAAAAAACATTTTGATAGTTTTGTTTTATGGACTTTAAATCTGAGATTGACTAATGCTCGTTATATCCATATCCTTCTTCGTTTCGTTTCGGCAGGGTTCGTATTGAATGAAAATAGATCATATGCAATTACACATTATATAACTATATATGTACATGTATATACTTTGATTTGAAAAAAAACATTTTGAAAGTTTTGTTTCGTTTCGTTTCGGCTGGTTTCGTTTTGATTTCGTTTCGTTTCGTCTTGATTTCGTTTCGTTTCGGTAGGTTTCGTTTCGTTTCGGCAGATTTCGTTTCGTTTCAGTTCGTTTCGTTTCGTTTCGTTTCGTTTCTATTTCGTTTCGCACTTTACAGGTACCCGATGATAACTTAATTGAGGATCAAAATGTATTAAAGTTTATTGAATAACCCTGAATTATAGTTTCTAATTTAAATTTTAAGCTTTACATCGAAGGGAGTAAAAATGGTAGTGGAAATAAAGGGGATATTGCAATTGACGATATCAAGATTATTATCATCGAACCAGGTAAAACAATTTTTATAACTTTTTTACATCCATAAATATTTTACATCCCGTTCGAGAATTTTTCACTCATATAGGAACTTCGCCATTTACTAGGGAAGGACTTCAAATTTAGATCTTTACTCGGCTCTCGGGGTATTTGAACAGTAAAGCATTTATCCTGTCTCCTCCTATCGGGAAAAGCGGCCTCGGTTTTTAAGATCACGTTCGAAAGACCGGCAACTGTCATTTCAACGTACCGAGCACTAGGCGAAGGAACAGTTGCTGAGTATTTTTAATCGACACAAGTCAGTCTCGGCCTTGGTTTAAACCTTTGAACATTAATTTTATCCACGAAATCCGAGAGAACAGGAAAATCTGAGTTAAAATAAACATAAACTGTATTGTAAATTTTGTACTTCATGGAATATACATTTGTATGATGTATACATGTTAAAATGGCCCAATACGACGCCAAAACCAATGTGCTGCCTTTTTTCTAGTATCTCTTGAATGAATCTCTGTTTCCAAGGCTCAGAAGACTATTTTTGTTTTAACAATGAAATACTTTTCACTTAACATAAACAATAGATGGAAGTCAAATATTTATTTCTTTACTTTAATTTCTAGAGAACAAAAACTCATGGTTGGCCTATAATGAAAGATGTGCGAGAATTCTTGGTTCTTACATTATTAATAACGAACAAATAACGGACCTGCCATGTCTATCTGATAGCTTAGAGAGGTGGACTGGAATCATAAGGCCACAGCGGAGGACTTCAGTCGTTACAGGTACCCAATCACTGTTCTAAACACAAACACATTATTTATTTCTTGCAAACGTAGAAACCAAAAATATATTTTAGAGGTAATATATTTGAATAATGTTTTATTTTTTTTTTTTAAATATAAATGTATAATTATCCAACCTTTCTTCACATATTTTATTGTACATTCATAATACATCTTTTTTTCATTTTCTCCGAAAAAATGCTAAAAAAATCAATTAGAATAATTAAGAGCATTAAGGGGAAGAAGGACCTTTACCTACAAAAAATACCCGTCGTTCAATTTTTTTCATATTTTGTATATCTTTAATTTAGTATGTGCCACATACCTTAAAGCAGATATATCAATAGGTTTCCAGACTTATTTTTGAGATATTGAGTGACAAATACTATACGCAATAGTGTCTAAGTGAAGTTTTGATTCTCCATGTTTCTAGGCCCATTACTCGGTCCATAGCGAAATTTTTTCAGCATAGATAAAAAATATGTCAGCAAACATGTGTCTATTAAAATATTACAGAGTTTAAGTAGGGTTGAAAATTCAAAAAAGCAAGATTCTTTTGTCACACCGCATCTGGAGACGGAAAATAACGTACTTTTTAAGACAACTTAAAACAACAAAAAAATTAATTTGCAAAAAAACCCATCATTCAATATTTGAAAATTTACGTTGAAAAGCAAGTTCGTTATGTTATTGATTAACTGTAAATATATCGATTGGTGAAGCTGAGCTCAATATTGCACAGGGCATAGTTAAACAAGACATGAGCATGAATAAAACGTGTCATGTTTACATTTCTAGAGTACGGGAAAACCCAACTATGACGTCATACATTTGCGAAATAAGTGAAATAAGACATATTTACAATATATTTCCGTCAACAACCATGTAAAAATATTTTTTGTGTTCTCTAATTCACAAAATACCCCACCATGTACTGATCATGTCCCGTTTTTATGATATTATACTACCCTGTTTTACCGTGTATAATCTTAAGTACTGTACTAAGAGATCTACTATGACGTCATTGACTCGTTTGACGCGTGTAGAGAAACAGATGAGTAGATCAATCCATTCCGTAATTTGAAAGTATTTGCAAGAAAGTTTTAATGTTTTTAGATATTTTGATACAAGATGGTGAACTCCAACAAACAGTCTAAAAATAATATACGTACTGTGGTTTTAATGATCTTGTTTTGTACATATTTAATCACAGATTATGACGTAATTAGATTGTCATCAATTTTATTTTTGGTACACAATTTTGACAATTCGAGCAGCTGTTTTGTGCATATTTGATTATGACGTCAGTTACGTCACAAAGCCAACGTTGCGTTGTTTCCCGTTTAAGGTAGATCGCGGGTTTGCTTTTGTCATCAATTTTGGTACACAATTTCGACGATCCGAGCGGCTGTTTTGTGCACATTTGATTATGACGTCAGTTACGTCACAAAGGCAACGTTACGTTGTTTCCCGTTTAATTCTCTGCAAATGACTCCAAGTCTGTACGAATCAAGTCGATTTATACAAAGTACATGCTATTGTACGTAAACCTCGTACATGTTATTGAACTTCAGTCTGAATTCTGATGTGATATTATGTGTAATGTCTTAGGACAAAGTAAATACAATACCAAATAAAAGGAATAATTTATATTGTAAGTGTTACTAAACTGCTAAAAGTCAATCAGAATAAGTCAGCGTAAAAGTTATGGTATGCAAAAAGAAAGTTATATATAAAATTGCTTAGCGGATAACTTGGGGGGGGGGGGGGGGATTTGTATGTGTGCACGTTATTAGCAACTCAGGGAAACATGCGTATTGCACCAGGACTGCCAATCAAATCCAGGGGGAAAATATGCGTATCATTTTCAGGATGGAATAAATAGTGAACACTAAAAACGTTTAAATTTAATTACAAGTATTTTCTTGTTTTTTTTTTTTTCCTTATCGTCATCATTATTACAATTATTTGGTTATAATGTATTTTTTAAAATTTCGTTTAGTCCCCTTGTTTTGCTGGCTAACAAATTTTGGAATACATGTAAAACCCAAATTTATACAAACATTTGGACTGCAAGACCTATATGACACTGTAAACAATTTACGGGTATCGTTTTTTTTCTATATTTTATAACAGAAGCTCTAAGTGTAAAAGCTAAAGGCAAGTGTTTTACATTTTGCGAATGAATATTTGATTCATAGAGTTCGAAATTAAAAAATGTTTGAGAGCAAGGGCTATATACAAGCTTGCGACTAAAAAGAAAGAACATTACAGGTAACACCCCCACCCCCAGTCCCTGGTAATTTCCTCAGTATCGGGATGCTTTTTTCATTTCCGTTTTCGAATAAAGTGATCAAATTTATGTGTTATGCCTGAAATCCCATTGACTATGAACTTCCTAAAAATACAGGTACTAATATTTTATAACTAGCGTTGCTGTCCCTGCATGTTAATTCTCTTGCACAAGGAATATTCATTCCGTTCATTCTTACTTTGTGATCAGAATATGAATTTCACAACACTAGTGAAAATAAGTTGATGGTAATCATATGTCTCCGCAATAAGTTATATGATGAAAAAAATTAAATGCTGCATCTACCTTTTATATCTTGCAAAATGATGCCAAAATCCAAATGTCAAGAGTCGTACTGTAAATGTGACTACGTTCAACATATGACATAAATAACGCCATAAACGCAACATTTTAGCAATATAAAAGCAAACTTTGAAATTATTTAGCAAAAAATCTAGCGAGAAGACATATTGATTTTTTTAAATCAATAGTTTTGATTTCACCTCATCTTGACATTTTGAAATTCCTGAATAATTCGTCTACGTCTTTAAAAAGTTATCCAACCTTTTTAAAAGAAACTCTTACTACAAAATTGGCTTTAAAACGTCATTTTTCCATATACTTCAAGAGTAAAGCGTTAAAAATGTATTAAAAACTATACCGCGTTTACAGTAACATAGCATTAAAACTACGTAGGCAAATTTAATAAAAATTGCAGATTATACGCAGTAAATTCTAAGGAACATTATATCAAATTTTCAGAATATGTTTTCTCGTAAGAATTTTTATGCAGTAAACCCGCGACCTACTTAATTCTCTGCAAATGACTTCAAGTCTGTACGAATCAAGTAGATTAAAACAAAGTGCATGCTATTGTACGTAAACCTCGTACATGTTTTATAATTAAATTTCAGTCTGAACTCTGATGTGATTATATGTAATGCCCTAGGAAAAATTAAATACAATACCAAATGAAAAGAAAAAAAAATTATATTGTAAGTGTTACTAAACTGCTAAAAGTCAATCAGAATAAGTTAGCGTGAAAGTTATGGTATGCAGAAAGAAAGTTATCATAGATAAAATTGTTTAGCGGAAAACTTGAGGGGTTGTATATGCGTATTGCATCATGCATGACTACTACTAGTAATCAAAGCCGGGGCGAAAATATGCGTATAATTTTCGGGGTGGAATCAATCCTCAACACTAAAAATGCATTAAATTTAATACATGTATTTTCCTGTTTTTTCTTATTATCATCATCATTATTACTAAGTATTGTTTGGTTATTATGTATTTAAGAGCCATTCTCTGTAATGATTTGAAATTTTATATAGGAGCTGTGGCACGCATAGTCTCAGAATTTCTCCAAACTTTCTATGATAGCAGTCATTGATACCCTAAACTGAAATCAGGCCTAGAAAAAAAATATGTTTGTTTCCGCTTTCCCGACCGACCCTAATTTATAGTGCCGACCCTAAAAATTTTTTTAATGCTTTTGTCCCATGCAGGGTTTCAGATTGGCGTCGGCCATTTGCCGATGAAAATTCAAAACGGCAGGAAAATAAAATTTACCTGCCAAAATGGCCTATAGGTTTAGCATTGAACGGACATAATGGCCAATTAACTTCTTTATGTAAAGGCCAGTCGTATAGACTAGTTTTCCCCCGTTCATATCTGATTCTGAGTATTTATTTTACTACTTTATGCAACTGCAGATTTCATTAGCCAAAGACAATTAGGTGTAAGATCTTGACAAAAATACTTTAATTTCATTTCAAAATTCAAGTGCAAAGAGCCAAAAAGTAGTGATGAATCAATGTTTAAAACATCGAAGGAATCCATGCCATGTTGATATTTTTACCGCCATGATTGAATGTGGGGTCAGACTAATAACAGGAAATGGACAATATTGCAAGGTTTTTTATACAAAGGAAAACATTTTTAGTCTAGGCAATCTGTAAACGTTATTATACTTGTAATCAGAAATACAAATCTCATTTCTGGATATTAAACTACTTTTAAAACTTGAAATCCCAAGAAATAAATACATCTACATGTAATGAAAGGTGGGACTAATATCAGTAAAATACCCATTGAATGGAATTTTTGAAAAAATAAATCCCCCTTCTGTTTCAATATATTGATTTTGTTTAAAATTGATTTTATTAAAAGGAAAATTCATATATACTTTTGATTATTTTAAGTAATTAAATGATTTTTTTTTGTAAAAGTCTGACACAAATGTGAGTAAGTTTAACTTTTCTACATTTATTTCATTTCTGATAAAAAATTTCAATTATAATTAATTAAGCCCAGCCGATTATTAATGATAATCGATTCTAATTTTTTTTAAATTTCCCTTGACTTTCATGCAATGAGAGTCCAGTGAAAAGATGACTTTTAAATGTTTAAAAAAAATGAAATGAAAACGATTGAGTTACACAGTATATTTTACTTCTTAAGTTATTTACCTGAATTTATTTAAGTATACTATGAAAGAATTCTGAAAAGAATTGTATATTTTCAACTATCACTCAGCTAGATAGAATGTTTTATAATTTATTGTTAACACTGGTTAAAATGATAAATGTCCAACGGACCCGACACTTCTAATGGGCCTATAATTTTAGGATGTTTAGAACAGAATGGCCTTTAACTTTTCTGGTAAATACTCGTATGCCATATGTCCTATAGTTACTCATTTCAATCTGAAACCCTGCCCATGAAGTGCAAGATTTCACCCAGGGAATTATAGTCTCCAACTTTGCAAGCTTTTCAAGACATAAAGAAGTTTGAGTCACCTTTCTATTGTAAGTTTAAGTCATAGAAATGCTTGAAAACACCATTTCTTTTGTCATTAATGTTACTTCTATACACGTTTTGATTAAAGAAGTAAAAAAAAAAAATTTCAAAAAAAAAAAAAAATTGCCTACCTACCTACCCTATATTTTTTCAGCCTGAAAGCGGAAACAAACATATTTTTTTTCTAGGCCTCAGGCAAAAATTGGTTGCTATGTTTTATAGTTACCATGGCAACATGTCTTAATAGTTCGAAAAATGGCATTTTTTAACATGTTTAGAGCCCCATAGTTAACATTTGCTGCAAAGCAAACAATTGGCAATGACTGTTTCCAAAAGTTGAAGGTCAGATGTCTCAAATACATGATAAAAATGTTTGGTAAATCAACTATTACATACGTTACTATGGTAAAAAGTATTCAGAAGTAAAAAAAAATATTCATTGAATTTTATGAAGTCATGCATGTAAAAAAAAGCAATTATAGGATGAAATGTGACCAAATAATAGAAAAAAGAGCCTTGAAACATATACCAAGAACAAAATATGATTTTTCATTTTGGTTGGCAATGGTTGCCAAGGTTTTTATACCACAGAGAGCCTTCAAAGTAACACTCTATATGTTTAAATCTGATCCTATCTTTTAAAAAAAGCACATTTCCTCATAACTAATGATAAATTTTATAAGATGTTGGTGTGGTCCAAGTTTTCCCCTTTGAAAAAATTCAGATTAGATTCTTTAAATAGAGCGTTGCTATGGAAATAAGCAGAAAATATATGCTTAAAAACCGGAAAAATATTTTCTTTCCTTGGATACATACCCTTAAATGTAGATTCCCAAAACTTTTATGATTGATATTTATTAACAGCTAACTTGACTTTTAATTTTGACTATCATCCAATCTATAAGTGGATGCAAGAAGTTGGCACACAGGGTTTAATATTGATAAAAAGTTCACAACATCGAACATTTTCCCTTCTTGGTAACCATAGCAACAGTGTTGTTTTATTCATCAAATTTTATATATATATGATTTTCAACTCACTTCTTACAGATACAGATAAGTACTATTCAAGCTGAGTCCTTTCATTTGTTTCTTGATTAAATGGCAATTTAATTCTTAATGCAGCGAAAAATAATTCACTCTTAAGCACTGGTACTTTGTTTCCATGGTAACACTGCAAAGTAGCAATTATACCCAATTTTTCTTATGGTTTTGGTGTTGCAAGGTCCTAAGGATGCATATTTGCCAGTCTTGAATTTTCGTGTTTTTTCTCAAGACAGTAGCATTAACCCAATCTTAGTTACTGGTTTTGCATGGTTACACTGTGTTACCATGGCAACCATAAAAGTTATTTATAGAATAATATTGCTTACACTTATATACTTAAGGTCAAACATTTTCATTGTTTTTCTTAAGTCGTTGATTGAGTTTGAGCATGTAACACCTACCATTAGTCAATACGGAGTGTTTTTCAGCATATTTCAGCATTTTAAATGTATTCCAAATGTACCCTTGGTTACCACTTACTTAGAGATATATTCTAAACAGTTTCTTTACAGTATAAGTGACATCAAGGTGTCATGTTTTTGTGAGAATGATTTGTTTGCTTTTTCTAGTTTTTATTAAGCCACAGTCAAGATTTAAAGTGGCTGAAAATCTCGATTTTTCAAACTTTTCCGGCTGTTGCCATAGCAACCGAGACACATAGCAACGAAATTTTGTTTGATATTTGTTTCTGGTGTCAAGTACTAAGCATGGGTGAAGTTTCATCAAAATCGGTGACCATGCGTGGCAACGAAGTTTAAGTGGTAACAGAGAATGGCTATTAAATCTCTTGTAGTCGCCTTGTTTTGCTGGCCTGGCTTATAAATTGTGAAATGCATTCAAAATCCAAATTTATACAAGCACCTGAACTGTAAGACCTATATGACACTGTAAACAATTTACAAGTATCTTTTTTCTAAAATTAAAAGTCTTAAAACAAAAGCTCTAGTCTAAGTGTAAAAGCTAAATGCAAGTATGTATTTTACATTTTGCGTATGGAAACTTGATTAAAAGAATTCGAAATTAACAAATGTTAAGAGTTAGGCCCATATACTAGCTTGCGTCTAACATAGAAAGAAAATTGCAAGTAGCCCCCCCCCCCGGTAATTTCTCCAATATCTGGAAGTTTTTCTTTACCGTTTTCGAATAAAGTGATCAAATTTATGTGTTATGCCTGAAATCCTATTCACCACGAATTTCCTAAAAATACAGGAACTAACATTTTATCACTCGCGGTGTTGTCGCTGCATGTTAATTCTCATGCACGAGGAATGTTTATACCGTTCATTCTGAATCTGTGATCAGAATATGAATTTCACAATACTAGTGAAAATAAGTTGCTGGTTATCCTAATATATCTTCGCAATAAGTTAAATGATGAATAAAATTAAATTTTGCGTCTATGACATCTTTTAGATCTTGCATATTCCAAATGTCAAAATATTTATTTCGTACTGTAAAAGTTACTACGTTCAACAAATGACGTTGTAGACATAAATATTAAATAACGCCATAAACGCAACATTTTAGCAATATAAACGGAAACTTTGAAATTATTTAGCGAAAAATCTAGCGAGAAGACATATTGATTTTTTTATATCAATAGTTTTGATTTTACCTCATCTTGACATTTTGAAATTCCTGACTAATTCGTCTACGTCTTTAAAAAGTTATCCAACCTTTTTAAAAGAAACTATTTTCACAAAATTGGCTTAAAAACGTTATTTTCCCATATATGTCAATAGTAAAGCGTAAAAAATGTACTATTAACAGTACCGCGTTTACAGTAATATAGCATTAAAACTACTTAGGCAAATTTTATAAAAATTGCAGATAATACACTGTAAATTTAAAGGAACATAATATCAAATTTTCAGGATATGTTTTCTCGTAAGAATTTTTATGCAGTAAACCCGCGACCTACCTTAAATAAAATTTTTGTGTGGCATTCCTCCTTAATAAAAGTTTCCCATTTACAGCGAAAATAATATTCTTATGAATAGGGAAGGTCGTATTGCTTATCAAAAAGAAATATTTTCTAAAGTAGCTGTATATCATACCGGGGGTATACCACCACAAGTTTATTTTAAATTATATTTAATTTGTTTAAATTCAATGAGCGCATTAAGAATAAATCATTTTAAGTATAAGAATAATATTTTAATTAGTTAATCTTAATTTTTAAAGGTTTTCAGGAAACCCCCACTGCTGTACAGTTGTACAGTTACATTAACAATGTACCTACGTATGACTGGGAAATTTATGATCCACGGAGAACTAGACCATTTGTTTGTAAAAGAAGTAAGTCTTTTATTGAATATATGCCACATCTTTTTCAACCTCATCTAGAAAAATATCTAAGTGAGTTTCGCTTGAATATACTAGTATTTATGTCCTCTAATGCTAGACAAGCTCACCGAGACATTTTTGCTAAATTTGTACAAAACAAATAAAACACAATCTTAGAGATAAAATATGTCATTTATTTAAATGATGTTATAAATGTAAACAATTTAATTTACACAGAAGGGGATCAGACTCACAAACTCTGATTGTAAGTTACGTAAAATATGATAAGGTCTGACCCCTCGAAAAAGGTACATACAAAACAAGACGAACAAAACATCACAAAAAGAGCAAAAAGATGGCACATCAAAACAAAAAGTGTGAATATGTCATATATAGTTAGATCCAGCAGGGATCCAGAAAGAAACTCCAGTTTACAGTTTCTTTTTGGAATTAAACTGTCAGAGTCGAAAATTACTTTAGATCCCGTCCCCAAAGGATAACTCAGACTTTAAAAAGTTTAAAGCATACAACCCAGGCTGCATTTCACACACACACATACACCCTCACACACACACACACACACACAAAACATTCATGCCTTTTTTCTGGATCTGGGGTTGTATTTGTTTATTTATTTTTTTTATTATTGGTTATAACTCATCTTCTAAAAAAAATTTGAAGCCATCCTTGCATATTTATTGTATATTTTTCGTACCACATGTCTAAACATATTTTAAAGGTGTTCTATTGCTTATAGTAAATGTTGCATTTTTTTGCTTCCATCAAAACAAAAAAATATAACAGTATTCTGTAATAATTCAGAATGTATAAAAAGATATCTTTAGGTTTTAAAGGGCTTTTGGTGTGTAATTTATTGTTTTTCAAGAGTTTTTCAACTTTGATTGTTTTCATTAGTTCTTAATTCATCGAGTGATAGTTGCGTGGTGTTCAGACGTGTGACTAGTAACCATGCTACAGAGACGACTGACCTAAATAATGGTAAGAGCAAGGTAATAATATAAAAGAAAATAAAATTCCTTTTTATCTGTATCTCATACTGTACTTCAATGATGCAATATTAGTTTTTTTTTATTATGAGTGATATAAACCAAACCTGTTTAAGGAGGTTATAAGTAGACATGTACATGTGATAATTTTATCGCAAAGAACTTTATTCGGTAATAACCAATATTTGCCCCCAAAATCAAACTTTGATGGAGATATATTTAATTAAGTTCTTACACAGGGGGGTATATGTCGACTTCAAAGCACTGAATATTTTCTTAAGTAATGACGTCATATGTACGTAATGACGTCACAAATTTGACGTAAATTTCAGTTTTTCATGAATTCTACAGAAAAATGTACATTTTTCGTCGATATTTTGAGTAAAAGTCACCGAGCGCATGTGTGTTCAGGATCAATATTTTGATATAATGTGTCGAATGATAATATCAATGAAATATGTAAATATTGTTCCTGAACAAACATGCGCTCTATAAATTTTAAAGCTAAAATTGTTGAAATTTTGTCCATTTTGTCCTCTTTCTGAAAAAGGATATAAAATCGGACTAGTTTGTGACGTCATAAAAACAAAAATTGTGAATAAACTACTTTGAAACTATAATATGTTCTGCTAATTTAAATTTCTCATACAATTTATTGAATTCAGCACATTTCAGGAAGTTTTCAAAATTTGACTTTTGTGGAGGCAAATGTATGCAATATACCGCATATAGTTCTTTGTTTGCTTGTATTAAGTTTATGTAACTAAAAGTGTCGTTGTATTACGGTTTTGCACGTCAAATTGCCTTTATATCTGAAAATATTAATAAACTTATCCTTTGTAGTTCGTCATTGGTTTTCCTAGTTTTTTTTAGAAATACTAATGTACAATTATTTCCTTCATTTGGGGTTTGTCTCCCAATTGTTTTAAGCCCAAGAATTGTATCTTTCTATAAACAATGTCTAAAATGCGTCAAACTTTTGACAAATAAGGTCATGATACAAAAGATATTAAATCGTTCAATGTCAACATGTAACTTCTATAATCGCTGTATCGACTTTGTTAGTAAATATAATCTTAATTTTCACATCACACTGAATTATCTACGGATTTTTTTAGTTGACCCTATCAGAAACTCCCCCCATGGCACCTATAATTCCAATTCTAATGTTTTCAAAGATAAATGTTTTGTCTGCCTTCTGTTGTACAAATGTTTTCTTGCATTTTTCTTGATGAAGATTTATCATACATATCAAATTTAGTAGGAATGGTAATTCCCATCGTTGCTGGTGGGTTTACTTTCATTATTTGTGTCATCACTGGGATAGTATGTTATATAAGGTAAAAATTAAATATATACATATAAATGTACTGAATAAGTACTCGATTCTTTTTCTAAACCTCTGTAAATTTTGTTTTCCTTTCTAAGTGATCTTTCTAAAAGAAAACGATTTCAATCAAAATTATATTTAAAACTTATACGTACCATGAAACAATATAACACAAAGTTCACATGTTTTATGTAGGATGCAGAAAAAGAAGAAGCACCAAAACTCTCCCACTGCTGAAGCTGTTGTGTATGATAATAGTGATGAAACATTTGTTTTGGAAACATTTCCTTCCAATGAAGCAAGTGAAAAGAAATTGAAGTACAGGGAAATACCTCAAAACGCTGGTACTGAAAGCAGAAAAAGAATGCTGGAAAATAATGATATTATTGGAACACCAAGATTAGAGACAGAGTATGATCATCTTCATCAGAAGAACAGACCCAGTACATCAGCAGCAGATATCATGGATAACATGTACAGTAGCATACAAGGCCATCAACATGGAACACAAAGTTTGGTGGATGATACTTATGACCATACGATCGGAATGGAAAGTAAATGTGGCTCGTCTCAGATAAATCCTAGTGTAGATGATTTTTACGATCAGGCTCAATTGTCTGAAAATGTGACGTCAACAACAGACGACTTTTACAGTCACGTGACGGGCGACAAGATCGAATCACAAAACATGTTGGTAGATTACCATATGACGGAACAGGGGAAATAAATATGGAACATCACTTATAGATAATAATGTGAATAATACTTACGACCAAGCACAATTTCTGCCTGAAACGCAGGAATCGCCTAAAAATAATTCTCAAGATTCTGAAATAGTTTACGACCAAGCAACATGACCTAAGGCCTAGAAAAAAAATATGTTTGTTTCCGCTTTCCCGACCGACCCTAATTTATAGTGCCGACCCTAAAAATTTTTTTAATGCTTTTGTCCCATGCAGGGTTTCAGATTGGCGTCGGCCATCGGCCATTTGCCGATAAAAATTAAAAATGGCAGGAAAAAAATAAAATTTACCTGCCAAAATGGCCTATAGGTTTAGCATTGAACGGACATAATGGCCGATTAACTTCTGTATGTAAAGGCAAGTCGTATAGACTAGTTTTCCCCCGTTCAGATCTGAGTACATGTATTTTTTTTACTACTTTATGCAACTGCAGATTTCATCAGCCAATGACAATTGGGTGTAAGATCTTGACAAAAATACTTTAATTTCATTTCAAAATTCAAGTGCAAAGAGCCAAAAAGTAGTGATGAATCAATGTTTAAAACATCGAAGGAATCCATGCCATGTTGATATTTTTACCGCCATGATTGAATGTGGGGTCAGACTAATAACAGGAAATGGACAATATTGCAAGGTTTTTTATACAAAGGAAAACATTTTTAGTCTAGGCAATCTGTAAACGTTATTATACTTGTAATCAGAAATACAAATCTCATTTCTGGATATTAAACTACTTTTAAAACTTGAAATCCCAAGAAATAAATACATCTACATGTAATGAAAGGTGGGACTAATATCAGTAAAATACCCATTGAATGGAATTTTTGAAAAAATAAATCCCCCTTCTGTTTCAATATATTGATTTTGTTTAAAGTAAACAAACAATTATTTTCCATTTTATTAAAAGGAAAATTCATATATACTTTTGATTATTTTAAGTAATTAAATGATTTTTTAGTGAAAGTCTGACACAAATGTGAGTAATTTTAACTTTTCTATATTTCATTTTTGATAAAAATTTCAAGTATACTTAATTAAGCCCAGCCGATTATTAATGATAATCGATTCTAATTTTTAAAACATTTCCCTTGACTATCATGCAATGAGAGTCCAGTGAAAAGATGACTTTTAAATGTTAAAAAAATGAAATGAAAACGATATATTTTTACTTCTTAAGTTATTTACCTGAATTTATTTAAGTATACTATGAAAGAATTCTTAAAAGAATTGTATATTTTCAACTATCACTCAGCTAGATAGAATGTTTTATAAATTATTGTTAACACTGGTTAAAATGATAAATGTCCAACGGAACACTTCTAATGGGCCTATAATTTTAGGATATTTAGAACAGAATGGCCTTTAACTTTTCTGGTAAATACTCGTATGCCATATGTCCTATAGTTACTCATTTCAATCTGAAACCCTGCCCATGAAGTGCAAGATTTCACCCAGGGAATTATAGTCTCCAACTTTGCAAGCTTTTCAAGACATAAAGAAGTTTGAGTCACCTTTCTATTGTAAGTTTAAGTCATAGAAATGCTTGAAAACACCATTTCTTTTGTCATTAATGTTACTTCTATACACGTTTTGATTAAAGAAGTAAAAAAAAAATTTTCAAAAAAAAAAAAAAAATTGCCTACCTACCTACCCTATATTTTTTCAGCCTGAAAGCGGAAACAAACATATTTTTTTTCTAGGCCTAAGCGGTGTTTTGTCTAAAATTCGATGGTAGCTTCTCTTTTTTCACTAGCATTGAAATATAAAATTTAAAATATGCAAATTATAACTTTGTTTCCCAAAAATTTAAATCTCCAAAAGTCAGTTGCCCTAAATAAATTAATACTTTGAGAATCTAACGTAAGTTTAAATGATAACTAATTAACATTTTGAAGTCTAAAATACATACCTGGAGACATCAATCAATATCAGTAAATATTCTTCTTTAATGATCTTAGCTGGACAATTTTTGTTTAAACGCAAGTTCCTTCACCTCTTAATTTATATTATATCATTTTCTCAAAATGTTAAATATGCCAACAATAAAAGAGTGCTGTATGTGCATTATACATTATGTATATCATCAATCTTAAAAAGCAACTTCATCAAAATGTAAATATTGATCGAAATATATCCTCCAATATTTTTCTCAAAAACAATTCAGGAAGATACATATAAATGTTCGATTCCTCTCAAATTAAGCTTAGAAATAAATAGCAATCTTTCTCGTTCCCATGTAACTTGCACAACAGTTTTAGAAACATTTAGTTCACGAAAAGTAACAATCATCACTGCAATGTTACTAACGAAGTTTAAATACGCAGTTGATTCCACAGACGGTGTCATTTATGCAAATTTATGTAAATGAGAAATAGCAAAGGACAAGAATGGGTGCCTGTGGTTTCTCTTCCAATGACACTACCCCAAGTTGTAATGAAGAAGAGTGAAGTATTTCAGTGTACACTTGTTCTCTATATGTTAGGTAACTCTGAAATCAGTTGAATACATTTCTATCTATATATCTGCATTTTTAATTGAACTGCTTCTTGAGAAAATAAAAACATGTCAGCTTATAAAGAGCACAACTTGTGATTGTAGGAATTCCAACAGTTTGTTGGAAAACTTTGTCTCCGAAAACCACATTAATAGTGTCAATGAGAAATTACATCAGTTCTTCGGAGTACTTGTGTGTAGAATCAGTGACTGAATCACAAGGAACACGAGTCTATCACGGTATTTGGTGAGGTCATCGCCCGAAATATGTTTTATTTCGGGTATTTTAACTTTAACCCATTTTTTTACAAGCCTGTACTTTAGGTTAATATTTTTAACCTCGACAGTAATCTGTCTGTAACCATTTCTGTTCTTCTGGTTGCGATTCCCAGTTCGACTGGAGATTTGGATGTGGTTTACTTAAAGTAAAATTTCTGCTTTTGATGATGTCTTTGATAGTAGAAGAATAGAATTATTTGAATTTCTGAAACGAAATTCTTCGGGAAAAATGGCATTGTCAAAAACCACGGTTTTGAGTTCACAAGCTCCCTTAGAGAGAATCGATGTGAATCACACGTGGGTTATCGACGATGTGAAAAAGATGGAATTTTGTACATATAAAAATTATACCATGTTTGTTATTTTTAAAGAATTACGGCGTATGTTCCATCTTGATATGTACACGTGTACACGTATTTTGCAGGCTTTATCATTCAATTGTTCTAAGATTACATGACGATACTTTTATAGCGTCTTCGTAGAAAAATTCAGCTTTTAGTATTTCAGTTGCTTTGTGTTTTGCGCGCGCCTCCAGCAAACGTCATAAGGCCGTGAAACAACCTGTCTCATTACTTATGATGGTGATGTATGCTACAGACCCCTTATTTTTATGTCTACGGCTGTCTCCAAACTTGTATTGTGGGACGTTCTAGTGTTTTGGTATTAAGGATTACTGTCAAAATAAAGGTATGCATTTTTTTTCACAGAAAAAGATAAAGCATTTTGAAAGGGCATGTTTCGTCACATTTGCTTAAAATTATTAATGAATTCATAAAGTATTTCTTTTACTTACCATAGTAATTTTGTTTTACATTTAATTCTGAATTAATAACTTTTATTATACAGTGAACGCCACTTTACTCGTGATTTGGGAATACTTCTGTAAATATGTCAACGAACGATCCCCCTCCTGGTAAGTCTTTAGATTTTTTTTATTAATATACTTCATCATTTTCTAGCTTTTTATGATCAATTTTCAAATTGATAGCAAGAAAACAAATTTAAGATTAAAAATACCGTATTTCAAACCCTCTGTCCCTCCTTTATGCTTATGTCACTAACCTACGCTATATATAATGTAACTGGTGGCGTTTTCATTTTATTTCAAGAATTTACGTTTTAAGCCTGTTAAAACATAAAAGAAAACTATCTTAGATCGTATATTATGCTGCTTGTTTCCTTCACAAGAACACGAGACCATACGACCACATCAAACCCAGACTTTTTAATGACTTGTCACTCATTGTAAAAGGGATTCAGTGTTAAAGTTAAGAAAGCAATTTGTTATTAAAAGAGTGAAAAAATGCAGTTTCTTTTTTAATCACGAGATTTCCAGAGAGAAAAAAATATTAAATAGTGTTTATGTATATATTTTTATTAAAGAGAGCCATGTGGGAAAAAGAATTTTTTTCATAATCTGATAACTTCATATATCTTTTCTTTCTTATCGCATTTTTATGGACCCGAAAATAGCACTTAACACAAAAATATAATGCACAGTGCTTCACAAATGGACGATAAAAGGTGAATTATGTACAACACGTCATTAAAACTCTAAACTATAGGTAAAAGTGACCAATGTGTCCGGCCATTGTTTTATACCTGACTGGAAACAATTGGACCTTAATTATGACGAACCACACCTGTCATATTTAGGACAGAATTGATGGAACTAATTGACAAGCGGACGTCACAGGACTATTCCTTCTAAATTCTGACATTTTCTCTCTTGTTAGTACCGAATATTTCTAAAGCCACCTGGCTTTGCCCTTTGTAATCATTTTGATGGAATGGTATTTAATTTTTCATTTATGATTTTCATGTGAATAAATATGCATTTTTTGTACAAAACAACTATTTTTAACATTAATGAAAGTAAATCTTTAAATGAGACCCTTTTTACTGCTAAGGACATTCGATGTTTCGGTGTCAAATCGTGATTGCATTTTTTGAATTGAAGTGAAAAAAATAATGAATTCAAATAAGATACATTCATAGAAAAACATGCGATAGCTATATAAAAAGATTCTCCTTTGCTTTGTGGTTGGGATGATTGTTTTTCAGCTCTATGGTTAAAAATCATTTCCAACAATAAACCGATACGCCTGTTATTAAGATGCTTCAGTTATTGGAACTCATATTATACAGGGAATAATAAAACAAAGTTCAAACTACCTTGCGTATGTCCTCAATATCTACCGAAGATATAACTAAATAAAACCTGTATTGGAACAGTTTAGGTTTTTTGCAAATGCTTCGCAGTACACACATTACCTTCTCAAACTTCATCATACCTGTCCACGTTTCTTGACTTCGGTCTACTTACAGTTTCCATGCATAT